AAGTGCCCACTCAAATGGCTTGAAGTGAAATCCAGATCACATAGTGACTTCAGGTGGAATTGTACCTGTAAGATTGTTGACTACTCGTTCTGCTAGATTGCCTAAAGTTGGAGGTATCTGAACTGAGAAATAAGTTGTCTGAAAGGTCTAGGAACACCAAATTTTGCAAGCTTCCTATTGCTTGAGGGATAGAGCCTGAAAATCTATTACCAGAAAGACGAAGAAATTCTAGATTTGTCAATAGACCAATTTCAGATGGGATTTCCTGAATGAAAGAATTGTTTTCAATCAGCAATGATGTTAACTGGGTCCAACTTGAAACAAGATCAGGGGAGATCAGAGATGTGACCAGAAAGCTTACTATTGAAGATAGACAAAATAGATAACTTGGTCAGATTGGCTAATGACAAAGGCAGGGATCCAGTAAGTTTATTCCAAGTTAAACGCAAGTTGAATAAGTTTGCGCAGAGGCCAAGTTCAGAAGGAACTATAGAATTGAGTGGGCTATTGATTGTGAGATCAAGTAATTGAAGATTCCCAAGTTTGCCTAAAGAAGATATGATCTTTCCTTGAAATGAAGTTAGTTCAAGGATTTCAAGATTTGGCATGAAGCCAAAAATATCACGAATTGAACCAGATAAGTTGTTATCTGCTAACCTGATTCCTTTTCAGTTTTGTCAGCTTGTCAAGAATAGATTGCAAGGAGCCCTCAAATAAGTTTGAGGTAAGATCAAGATATTCAAGCTTGCCTAGATTGGTGAATAATGATTTTGGAATTTCGCGGCTTAAGTTATATTGTTGAGTTTTAGATTTGCAAGATTTTGAAATGAAGCAATATTGAGTTGTTCAAGCGTGCCGTCTAGATTTGCTCTAGATAAGTTTATCTCAGAGATCGACCCTTGTTGTCGCAAACAATTCCCTTCCATCAACAAAGACTGTTGAGGTTCCATGAAACGAGAGAATCATCGTATGATGATAAAGTGGTCTTCCACCTTACAAGAGCCTTTGCTTTCATTCTAACAGTTGATTCAACTTATCGACCCTTCAGACAAAGATGCATGAGCTGTGAGCTCATTTGTTGCTCTGTTCCCAATTCGAGGAGTATACCAACAAGAACGACTTCCCAAACATGTTGATTACTCAACAATATCGGATAAAACAACTGCATTCGATGGAAAGGAAAAACATTAAAATTAAATATTTCATCTAGAGTTACATTAAAGGTTATTAACCTTAATTCGTTTTTACACTTGTATCCTTAACTTTTTTCTTCTTCACATTCTTATTTATAACATTTCATTGATAAGAAAATCTTGCCATTAATCATGATTTTCGTCAAAAAATATTGTTAATGTGCTTTAGAATGAGATTCAAGTATTTAATCGCATTTAGGCATAAATGTGATAATTTGTAAAAAGTTATGAACTTTTCATGCAACTAAAATGTAGTCTAGTTATTAAAAATTATGACCTGAATATATTTAGCCATTCAAATTAGAACTATCAATTACATATCTCGTTTAAATTAACAGCTGATCGATTTAGTCGAGGACTACATATTCAACAATGAATACGTCTATAGATCGATTTTTAAATTATTTGTACATAAAATATAACTATGATGAAAATTCAATTAGCTTTCTTATTAAAAAAATTCGAATTTTGACTTATCCAATTTAATTCTTATCAAATTGGACTCCCCACCTAGTGATAACTACGGATAACCGAATAATACTCTTAAGGTGAGTCATGAGTGGGCACAAACAACTTTGACAAACAATGTAAATTACAGCTCATTGTTTCCCCCACACAAAACTTGTGATTGTGAATGCAATGACTAACGGATAATAACTCAAACGGTCATTGAATTTTGTAATATGTTTCCACGATATCACTGAATTTTAAAAATTATCATATTCATCTCTAAACCCTACATTTGTAATGAACGGAATTGCAAATTGCAAAATTTAGTGATGAATAAAGTGATTTTTATAAAATTTAGTGACCATGTGAAAAGCTTTTGCAAAATGACTATTCGGGTAATTATCTGCATATTTTCCAATAAAATAATATTACATATAAACCCAGATTTTTGTTTTATTTTTTAACTATACATTCTCTAAAAAAACACTATTGTAAAATACATTTTTCCCTTCTCTACAAAAAGAAAAGGAAAACGAGTTGTGGATAAGTGATTTTTTGGAGAATGTATGGTTGAAAATAATTAGTATTTTGTCATTGATTTTTTTTCACACGCTATTAATTTTTCTTGAAAAATAAGTTTTGGAATAATGATTTTTTGAAGAATATGTAGTGAAAAAAATTATTAGAATTTAGTCATGGCTTTTTTCTTTTCTTTTTTTTTTCTTCTACCTGTTTAATTTTTCCAAGACCTTTTTCTTTTCGTTTCCTTTTTTTTTTTAAGAGAAAAAGGAAAAATATATTTTGGAATAGTGATTTTTCGAAAAACAAAAGTATATTTAAATAATAAGAAAAAATTTTGGGTTTATACGCAATATTTTTTTTATTAGAGAATGTGTGGATAATAATTCAAATGGTCACTGAACTTTACAAAAAAATTTCACATGGTCCCGAAACATTAAAAATTTCCACATTTATCACTAAACTATGCAATTTGTAATCATGTTCATCACTGACCTCACGTAGTTGAATATGTTGATGTCAAATCAGCTGAAACATAGTGTCACATATGCAGCCACGCATTTTGTCAAATATTTGGTCAATGATGAACGGGATTACAGATTGCAAAATTTAGTCCTTGTATGGTCCACATTATTTTTTTCATTTTCATTCTTCTACTCATTTTCAACCCCACATTTTTCAATAAAATAGTATTTTTCATCACATCAATAATTTTTCCTTTTTTTTTCAACCACATATTCCACTTCACATCAACAGTAAAAACACATTTTTACCTTCAAAATGTGCACCAAATGGGGTAGTAATGAATGTGGTGATTTTTAAAGTTCAATAATCCACTGAAAACTTTTGCAAAGTTCAGTGGCAATTTGGGTTATTATCCCACAACTAAATAATGCAAATGTTGACTTTCATTTGCATTTATATTTTAGCCTGTTTGAGTCACTTTTTTTTTTTT